GCTTCTTTCCAATTCTACCAAGTTTTCTGGGCTTTTTGTTTTGTTTTGTTTTGCTTTAACTGCATGTTACTTAGTTGTTGAGTTCTTATGAACACTTTTCCCAAGAAATCACATTCTTTCATTTCATCTCATGGAAAATTGTTATCATTTTTGGTGCATACACTGCATCTCATTTGGTTTTCATAGTCCATTCCTCCTTTAGTCTTGGGGTGTTTTTTCAGAAGTCCCATGCTGGTGGCTTTTTGCTGTGTGTGCATTTTTAAATGTGCAGATTGGTGATTATCTATGTCTGGGATGTGTAAAGTACTTCCTGCAAGCCAAATCTAGCCTATTGCCTATTTTTAGAAATTAAGTTTTATTGGAATGTAGTCATGCTCATTCTTCATCTATGTCTTTATGCTACATTGGCAGAGTTGGGTGGTTGCAGCAGAGACTGCATGAGCTTGACAGTCTAAAGTATTTACTTCCTTGGAATTCTGCAGGAAATAATTTTCTCATGTGATGGGACACAGGGTAAGCAAAGGCAGCAGTGACATTCCCTATACACTGATGAAAATGAACCTTACAACTTGTGGGTCAGGAGAGAAAAAACAGAGAAAACGAGGGAAGGAGTGACACTGTTCAAAAAGAAATATACTCATTACCTGACTTTTGTAACTACAACTCCTGTGTATATCATCTTTACAATAACAATAAAGTGATATTAATTATTAAAAATAATTTCTCCTTAGAACTGTACTTAGTTCCACACAATGGGCATTATTGATAAAGCACTCCAGATTTAGTAAAGAAACATATTAATCTGTAACTTTTTTTACATTTCTTTAGAAATGTAAGTAAATTTTCTCTAATGAAAAAGATAGCCTCAAAAAGTGCAGTTTATAGCCTAGTTTTGTCTCTAACTAGCTTTGTTTATAACCTCAAAATCTTATTATAACATTGCCTAGAAATAGTTGACTTTTTTCCAGTACTGAGAGTCATTCTACCACTTGAGCCATGCTCCCAGCCCTTTTGCTTATATTTTGTTTTTGAGATAAGGAGTTGCTAACTTTAACAGGCTAACTTTAAACCCTTGATTATCCTGCCTCCAGCTCTGCATCCTGAGTAGCTGAGATTACAGGCATGTACTACCATGTCCACCTCAAGTATCTGATCTTTCAAGTCTCCTAAGACTGGTTTTAATATCATACTGATTCCCTCATAAGTGCAGTTAAAAACAATCTTTGACTTGTATTTGTTTTACATTTATGTTAAAATTTTTCCTTTTACAAAATTATAATAGGTATAATAGGTATAGAATACCTATAGAATAATCTATCATTTCCCCATCCATTTTATTGCCAATGTATTTTTTATCAAATACAAGATTACTAATGAGAGACTAATACATATGTTGTAAATCTTAAAGCCTTCAGTTAAGATTGTAGAAAATATAATCCATCATTTTTTTTGTAACACAACTCTCATCTTGACAGAAGACAAAAGAGAAAACCATAGTTTGAATCAGCTACTTCAGGTTTTTCAGTCATTTCAAATTTAATAGCCATTGAATATTGAGACTTTTTAATAGCCATTAAATATTGAGACTTTTACTGGGATGACCTGCAATATCCTGAGAGTTATGGAGAGGAACATGCTCAATTGAGATCCCCACTACCCAGGATGGCCCCTGCTAAGGGTAAGATAGTAACAGTACATCCTGGTCTAGGTTGCAGCTCTACAGGTCAAGAAGGCTTCTTAGGGTCCTAGCTCTACCTCTATTAGCTGCTGTCAGGCAGTAGGAAAACTGTTTCTAATACTCCTCTGGGACTTTAGAAAAACTAGCAGGCACTCGCTGCCCCTTGGCTTCCCCAACACTGCTACCGCCCATCTTTCTGCTGCCATACCATGGTATGTGTGTGTGTGTGTGTGTGAGCAACTTTCAACCCTCCCCCACCACAGCTGTCTTCAACAATATCACCCTGTGGGGACTGGAGGCTTTATGGAGCTATGTGAAGAGGACTAGCAACATCAGGTAATATTTTACCCCCTTTAGTCTGAGCAATACAGGTTCAGGACATTCTAGGGCTTTATCTATTTTCTTTCCCGTGTCTTGCTTTGTTCATAACTTTTGGCTTTGATTCTTTTCAAGCCTTTAGGAAATTTTGGCTCTTGCAAATAGGAATCTTGTTTCTTTCTTTTTTTTTTTTAATAACACTGCTTTATACTTTAAAAGCCCATGTGGGAACTTCAACTATTTTTTGGACTTGTTGTAATTCTCATTTTTGAAAGGATAAAAATCCAGTTAGAGCCAGGTGCCAGTGGCTCACACTTATAATCCTAGCTACTCAGAAGGCTGAGATCTGAGGATCACTGTTCAAAGCCAGCCTGGGCAGGAAAGTCTGTGAGACTCTTATCTCCAGTTAGCCACCAGGAAACTGGAAATGGCCTTGTGGCTCAAGTGTTAGAGTACTCACCTTGAACTGAAGAGCTCAGGGGCAGCACTCAGGCCCAGAGTTCAAGCCCCATAATGGACAAAAAAAATCAACTTAGGTTTGCTCTTGGTTCATCGAATCAAATAAAATTGTGTTTCCAGATGTTACTTGGGTTTCCTCTCTGCTAGTCAATCACAGCCTTCATTAAGTCTAGATAACAAAGGCTTTTAGTATCAATTTGTCTATTTAATATTCTGAGATGAGGAAGGAAGACAGTCTAGCCAAAGTACTTTGTCTCTACACAATTTTCAATTTGCTACCATAGTTGGGTGTCTGGTTTTATGTTCAGCCTGGGTGCTTTCCTGGTCCTTGGGTGACTGTGTCTTGTCACCCTACAATGACTCCTACTCCTACCTGACAACTAGTGATGCAAAGAATAGCAGCACCTAGCACCAAAGACTTGAGGAAGCTCTGGAGAAATATGCTAAAAGAAAGCATGACTTGGATAATTTTCTGTTTGGTGATACCACATAAACATATTCCTAGCCAAACTCTTCCACCAACTTCCCAGACAGCAGATTTGGCAAAAAATAAAAATCTTCACAGCTTCTAAAGCAATACCAAGCAGGATAAGCTCAACTTATTTTCTGGCTTTTCTTTTCTTGGTTGTTTGTTTTTTCTTGGTTCACTTTTGGATTGGGGGAGGCATCCTTTCTTTGAGGGAGGAAGGTGACAGAGAGAAGAAATGATGAGGAGTGGATCAGTGTATCTGCTCCATCCTTGTCTATACAGTCACAGAGCATTCAGCACCAATAATTTTAAAATAGCTCTTTTAACTCAGTAATTTGTCAGCCACCTTGTTGTGTGTATCCTCTACCCTTTCTACATGGTGGGTCTGCCCCTTCTCTTTCTGTTTTATACCATACTTCCAGCTTTCAGCATCTGTCCATTTTTGTTTGGCTTGCCAGACAGTTGAACCACACTATTACAAACAAGTACAGGTGGGAAGATCAGCAAGAATTACCACCCTGAGCTGGTTTCAATTACATTCATGTTTGTGTAGTAACAATAAACATAGCTTTGTCCATATCCTGGCCTTCTGAGTTTCTTGCTCTTACAGGGATTTGTGGTTGACTCAGTGAATCTGGACAGCCCAAGTTCCAACAGCTGTCTTTTGCTGTCTTAGTTTAGACTTCAGTGAAGCCTGCCAGGTACAGATGAGCACTCCACCCTCTCCGTTTGGCATTAAGTGGTGACTCTGAGAACTAACTCAACTCATGTGTAAAATCCAGGTGATAATAATACCTACTTCATAATATGAGAATTAAAGTAACTCAAGACTTCTTAAAAAGTACTTGAAGTACTCTCCACTTACATGTTATTGGTGTGTGTGTGTGCACATGCACGTGTATGTGTACCCACACATGTGTACACTTTCTCCCAAGAATCAGTAAATTCTATTCATTCACAGAACACATGTAAGGCAATTATTCATATAATTCAAACTGATTGAAATACAAATAACCTCAAGCTTTGCTAAAACAAGCTTTGACAAACATTTGAAACATACATAGACATATTACAACATTGAGCTTGTATATATAAATATAGTTTATTGTATTGAATTACATGTCTATATAAACTCAATGTAATTTTGCAATATTTCTTAAAATTTATCTTCAGGTTTATTATTCTTTGAGGAACACTAACCTAAAGGCAAAGAAAATAATCCTTTCTAAGTAAAGCACAGTAAAATAAAATTCTCTTCAGTGTTAAAACAGCTTTTCATTGTTACACAACTCCTGGCCTTTGGAGGGAGTTGTCAACAAATACGTTAAATTGCTATAGAAAGTTTAGACACTTAACTTTCAAGAACTGAGACTGATGATAAATATTATTTACAATATTGTTGTGCATTCCTTTTGTCCAACAGATTTCTCCCAAAGAGCTAACAACAGGCTGAATGGAACCTAAATACTGGCCATAAATCTGCCAGATGCATCAGGCCAGAGGCTCTGAGCTCCATGAAACTTCTCTTTGGAGTAGCAGGAGCCCTGTGGTGAGGAAGAAGGTACTCCTTCCCTGAGGCTGCTCTGGGCCATGATCTGCAGGTCTAAAAAAAGGCAATGAAGGAGTCTGGAAGTCCAGCACGTCAAACCTGTTACCAGAAGATCCCACCCAGCACAGGTACAATCTGACTGGCTCTGATTGCTAAGAGCCTCCCATCATTTATTTGGTTGGAATACTGTGTGCCTGACCCTTGCTGGATTGGCACTTCAATTTCTCTTCTAATTGAGCCTTGTAAATGAGCAACCAGCACCCTTTAGTGCCTTTATCTATACATACATAGCATGGGTCCCTAAAGTCTCCATCAACTTAAAGAGCCTCTAGCTCCAAGGTGGTGCTAAAACAAGAATGGAAATGCATCTAAAGAGAATAAACTCTTACTTACTACGTCATCTTCTGGTTAGAAGAGTCATGAGGAGAGGTGTTCCTCTCATGATTTCACAAGTTTAATTATAGATAAATTCAGCCATATTCCATTCTCAGACTTTGACTCTATATAACAAATAAAAGATAACTTACTGGTGATTCAATGTCCTCTAGGAGTAAAACAGAACAGCGTTCACATTTCAACAAAGTTTGTGCTCGATGCATTATTTTCTTGACAATTTTCTCCAGGTCAGTCTGTTCTTCAAAGAGGTCATTAACCACCTCTAGCAAAGCCTGAGAAAGAGTAGATGGTGCATTTAGGTGGATACAAGACTGAAAAGTAATGACATTTTTTGTCTTTCAAAGTCTCCATATACTCTTTGCTCTAATATATCGTTTTTTGTGTGTGATTAAGTTTTAAAACATTTGTGCTACTTAGCACAGTTCCATCATTACATTTTATAACACACTCCTTTTTTCTTTCGGCCAGTTATTCTTTTTAATAAAACTATTAGTTACTTTAATTACAAAGGCGATGTACAGAGGGATTATAATTACATGACTTGAGTAATGAGTACATTTCTTTCATACAGTATCTTCCCTTCCCTCATCCTCTCCCAGTCCTTCCTTCCCACACTCTTAAAGTTAAAAATACAACTGGAGAATGAGAATTATCCACATAATGGGAATCATGGAGTCATTAGCTAGTAGTTTCCCCCACCCACTACTGTGGTTTTGCAATGTGAATAGGTAACTTAGTTACTTAGTTCTCTCCAAAGAACATATCTTTTAGAAAACTACAATCTCTAACAGAAATAAATAACTTCATGGTTGAACCTGAAACTTATTTTCACTAATGCTAACATGTTTTTACTAACATCTCACAGAATTGTGTAAGAATTATAGAATTTTAATGTTAATTAAGGTTCAGAATATATATATATGTGTATATATGTGTGTGTGTGTGTATATATATATATATATATATATATATATATATATATATATCCCACAGCAATTTCTCTACAGAAGAAGAGAAAACACTGCCTGATTCCCAACTGCCAAGGAGAACATTTAGATAGTACTATATATCTCTGCAACACAAATATCATTAGATTTTCTGTTAAAATGGCAGGTTATAAAGGAGGCAACAATGCTTGATAAGAAATGTACTCGTTATCTTGCCCATGTAATTGTAACTCTTCTGTATGGTATTCTCACAATAAAAAAAATAAAGCACACAAATTAAAGGAAAAAATTATAACGTCAACACTATGTATTTACTTAAAACTAATTTGATATAACCGGTCACTTTTTCTGGCTAAATGAGTTTGCGATTTATGCTTTGAAATTTATTTGTTTGGAATTTTTAATGACATGGGTGTTTTCAGAGCCTGCAAAATAATGGGCTAGGTAAAGTTGGTAGAAATTATGCTTCTATCAAAGCAATCAGAGAATTATGTGGCTAGTGAATTGGTTTCAGGGAGTTTTCATTCAATAGAATTAAATAAGTTGTGTGGTCTCCTGCCTGACCTCTCATGAAAGAAATTCATGAATCTTCAGGTTCACATCTATTTAGTATAGTGTTGATCATCCCAAGGGCATAACTAATTTTCAATTTTAGTAATGAATTTGATTTATGCTGAAACCATTTGAAACATGTGAACATTTCTTATCTGTGTCTATTCAGATAGAAAAGCATTTGAATGAGTTAAGGGATCCATAAAATAAATCTACTTTATTGAGCCAATGAAAGAGAAACAACGTTCTTAGGTAGCTTTCCTTCTGAAGAAAGACTGTGTCTGTGGCACAGGGCCATATTTTTTATGTGGCCAAAAGCAAAGAGAAACATCAGGAGGTAAAAGCAGCCCTAAACGAAGCCTCACTTACACAGCAAACCCTATTAGAAGTCAATGTACAACAATTTCATGTTCAAATACAACATTAAAAACAAGACAACTGCCTGAATAATTACAAGCAAATTCCCTGCTATTAAGGGGGAAGTATTATTTCCTTAACCATCCAGATTATTACTTCAGATGGATCATATTAACTGAACAATTATTTAACTTTTCAATTTGTTGTGACTATATGGAGAGCCTCTGGGACCTATATACAGGAACATTTCTCTCATAGGAAAAACTAATGTGCTTAGAGTCTTGCACTGACAAATCGTATTATAGTAATATTATTGCTTCTAATTAAAAATTGCTGCTTTATCAGCAAATGATGAAAGTTTTACAAATCACAATGCAGACTAGTTCTAGAATAGGATAAAGGGAGGAGAAGATCTAGAGATATGCAGTTAAACAGTCACTGGAATATTTCATACAGTTGAATACTTCTTAATGTTGTTTGCCTTCCAAGAAACAAATGTCTGCACTTTCCCCCTCCTCTTCTAGTAACCTTCCTTTGCTCCTGGGATTATCTTGGATTTTACCCCCTTTCTTTCTCTTATACATCCTTTCCTAGATTAACCCTGAAAATGCTTTGATGTTAAATACCTTCTATATTAAACCTTAATCTTCAGTCCTAATGTTATACTCCCTACCCCAAACTTAAGCACCTACATTCAATTGTTTACTTGCCAAATTCACAAGCCAGAAACCTTTTTGTTGTCATTCCCCATATTAGGAAGCCCTGTAATTACACTTCTAACTTGACTTTAATACAGCTTCTAACTCCTTTTCCTGCCTCTAATTGTCTGTCATCTTCTCCAACCAGAAGATAGAGTGTTGTTCTTTAAAAGTAAATTGAACTCAGATCAAAAATCTTGTAATAGATTTTTCATCACACCCAGAATAAAGACAGAACTTTTGACGTGTCCATAGACCTTTTTAGCATCAGAGACCTAATGAAAGTCATATCTTTGTCCTTTTTCTCCTGTCCTGCTCTACTATTTTCTCTGCCATCTTATATATATTGACGCAGGCCTTTCCACCTGATAGGTCCTGAAATGCTCTTTCCAGATCTCCCTGTGGCTCTTCTTTTCCATTTCCTTTAGGAATCTTCTCATATACCATCTCCTTATGACACTTTCACAATAATCTTTTAATACAAAATCTGCCCGCCACACTCATCTATATCCCTTTAACTCACTTTGTTTTTCCTTATAGTGTTGATCACTATCTGAACCTGTGTTTTGTCTTTTCTCTATGGTTTCCACTAGATAATAAGTTCCAGGAGAATAGAGACTTCAAATGGCACACAATACACATTGTTGAGTGAATAAATGAAGTATGTCAAACACAAGAATGCAAAGACTAATAAAACACAAAGCTTCCTTAAGGAGTTCATCATATAGTTGGAGAGGAGGATCATCAGCAAATATTATAAGGCACAGTGATGGGTATCTACAACAGAACACTGACATTGTGTACAAGGAACAATTAGCAGAAAATGCGGAGATCTACTGGAAGGCTGAGCTGGGTTCTGAAGGACACACAAAGTAGTGGAAGGGGAAAGAGGGACGGACAGGAGGCATTGGAGACAGAGGAGAAATGTGATGAAAAGCAGGCTAATATGAAATAAGCAGATTGTCTTCCTGGAAGTCAGAAACCAGATTGCCACAGTGTCAAGTGAAAGGAAGAGACTGGTAAACAGGGAGCTAACAATGAAAAGAAGCTCCAGATCACAGAAAGTAGACAGTGCTACAATGAGAATGGCTGTAAGGTCAATGAGACTCAGTTGAGGGGTGAGGGTGGGAGAGTCCCTTAGTATAATGCTTGGCAAGTGAAACTCGCAAGCAGGCAATTTAACCAAGAGATTAACTAAGAGATTCAAACTTCTTAAAAGCACATTTTAAAATACATGTCTAAGTTGTGACCGTACTCTTCATGTATTTAATTGTGAAAGAAATGGCTGGGTGCTGTAATGCTAGCTACTCTGGCTAAGATCTGAGGATGGCAATTTGAAACCAGCCCAGGCAGGGAAGTCTGTTAGACTCTTATCTCCAATTAACCACCAAAAAAGCCAGAGATGGCACTATGGCTCAGGGACAGGGACAAGGCCCTGAGTGCAATCCTTAGGACCAGCAGAAAAAAGTGGGAGAATTCTAATATAATGTAATCATTGTTTGATATTTTTGCATTTTATGAGCATTAAGTGTCTTTGGGTTGTTCTTTTTCTATTTAGTCCTATAACTCTTGAAAGCACTTCTTGTGAGTATTTTTCTTTATTAATTCTATAAAATAGTTATGCAAAATTGTCCCAAGTAGCCAGGCACTGGTGGCTCATGCCTGTAATCCTAGCTACTTAGGAGGTTGATATTTTAGGATTGTAGCTCAAAGCCAGCCCAGGCAGGCAAGTCTGTGAGACTCCTATATCTAATAAACTATTCAGAGAAGGCCAGAAGTGATGCTATAGCTCAAGTGTTAGAGCATTAACCTTGAACACAAAGAAACTCAGGGACAATGTGCAGGCTCTGAGGTTAAGCCTCAGGACCATCAAAATAAATTAATAAATAATTTGTCCCAAGAATCTTGGGATACTCTTCCAGAAAACCTTTCCATTGAAAAACAAAATCTTGGAGATAGGTGAAATCATGTTTGTAGCATACTTTTCTTCTTAAAGAAACTAAATTGTAAAAACATCAGCTAATAGTGTTATTGTTTCAAAGCTACATGCAAGCAAAGCTCTGTCTGCTGCCTTGTAGTATAAGTGTGAGACTAATTTCTTCCTCTTTCTTGTCTTTTCTTTTTTTTTAAATGGAATCAGTACAGTGCCCGAGAAACAACAGCAGAGGACTAAAATTCACTTTGTTTTGGCATACTGCTTCAAAGGACTCTTCCTCCATAGCTTGGCAGAAGTTTACAAATGAGGAAGAGTGCTGGATTATACAAAGATCATCTACTGTTTGTAAAAGAGATAATGACTCACAGAAACCAGAAAGCATTTGTCAGCAGTGTTTCCTCCTACTCACCCTGCTTCTTTCGTATTCTTTCCTTGAGGCAGCAAAGAGCTGGGCATTGGATATGGCAATTCCACAAAAAGGAAGATACATCTGCATCACCTGAGGCAAAGAGAACATTAAGAACATTAAAACAGCTATTTCTGAACTAAAGTCATTTTTTTCTAAAAGCAGAGGCTTGATTGGAATACTTTTTCAGCCCAAAGGAATGAGCATAAAATTGTTCATACTAGTAATGTGTGTGTGTGTGTGTGTGTGTGTGTGTGTGTATACATGTGCACATATGCATACACACCAGTACTGGGGCTTGAACTCATTGACTGGGCTCTGCCCCTTAGCTCATGGCTGGCCCTCTATTACTTGAGCCACATCTCTACTTGGTCATGTGGTGTGGAACACAGCTAGTACAGAATTAGCTGGAGCAGAAAATGAGGCAATTGAGTAGCTACACAATGGATAGACTACATTCTCTGTCATTTTCTTTATGCTCACCTCTGACTTAGGGTTCCTGAAAGAATTTTGGAGCTCCAAAGATTGAAATTTTAAGAAAGACCTCTTGAAGAAGAGAGAGAAACAATGCAACTTGTACTAAGAAGAAGTACAAAAACATGAATTCATTCTTAAAGACCTTTTTGGTACAACTTCCACAAATCTTCCCAAGAATTTTGCATACTGCCTTCTGAAACCAGATGTTCCCTCTGTTAACCTTGTCTCCCTTTCCTTATTCTTCTTGCACATGCCATAAAAAGTTTGTCTATTAAGCCAGCATGAAGCTGTTGACATGCAGCTGCTAGATAGTTCTCCAGGATTTCCCTGCAGTTATCTAGGATGAGACCACTTTTAACATTGCCTACACACACAGAAAACACGATCCTTGGGGCTGGGAAGGTGGCGCAGTGGTAGAGCACTTGCCTTGCATGCCTGAGGCCCTGGGTTCGATTCCTCAGCACCACATAAGCAAAAAGAAAAAAGCCGGAAGTGGTGCTGTGGCTCAAGTGGTAGAGCGCTAGCCTTGAGCTGAAGAGCTGAGGGACAGCGCCCAGGCCCAGAGTTCAGACCCCACGACCGGACCTCCCCCCCCAAAAAAAAAGAAACGAAAAGAAACACGATCCTTATAGTTTTCTAGTTTTCTTTGTGATTCTTTCTTGCATGGGCACAGTGGTTATGATGCAGATAAAGAAGAGAAATATGAGTTACTGCTATCTTTTTATTTTTTTGCCAGTCCTGGGGTTTCAGGGCCTGGGCACTGTCCCTGAGCTTCTTTCTCTCAAGGCTAGCCCTCTACCACTTGAGCCACAGCATCACTTTCGGCTTTTTTTTTTTTTGAGTAGTTTATTGTAGATAAGCGTCTCACATCGTAAAGTTCATTTGTCTTCACAGTGTCTTGTACATCTCATTGTTACAATGGGCCAACCTGTATCACTATTTAAGCATTTTATTTTTCCCTTCCCCTCCCCAAATTTGAGAAGTGTATATACAAGATGTAGGGCACCAATATCAAATACAGTGAAAATAGGGGTTATACTATGTGGGAGGAACATACAAAGAAACAAAAAAAATCACATGGTACATTATAAATATGGGCGGGGAGTATAGTTTTGGAGGTGAGAGATTAGGGATGGTAGGGGAAAAACAAAGGAGGAGGCAACAATGCTTGATAGGAAATGTACTCATTACCTTGCTCATGTAACTGTAACCCCTCTGTACAGTATTTTTACAATAAAAAACACATTTAAAAAAGTCTCACTTTCCTGCCCAGGAACCTCAATACTCAGATTTCAGCTTCCTGAGTACAAGTGTGAGCCACCGGCAACCAGCCTTATTTTATTTTTTAATCTTTATTTTTATTATTCTACTTCTGCAGAAGGATGACTTTTATTTGTTTTTACCTTCTGGGACCATATCTAAGGATGCTAATAGGCAACTAGAACAAAGAATGTGACCATAGGAACATGTGAAATATTTTCCAACACATACAGCCTTAATTTGCTTGATTTGTAACACCAGTATTGAGCTCTATCAGGCATTGTGTATAATTTAAAAGAACCTGAATTTTATATTAGTAAACTTTTGTCCTTTTAGTGGTTTTCTGTGTGAAATTTAACAAATCACTTAATCTCTCTTAACCTTTTTTCTTACTTGTAAAACATCAGGTTTAAAGTACTCTTTAGTTCTATTATTTGATGAGCCTAATAGAAAAATTGGCAAGCTGAAATATTCTATTTGCTAGATATTACATGCTTGTATCTTACACAGATAATAATCATTTATAACATTGATTCCCATTGTCAGCCCTTTCACCAATGAAGCAGGTATGATTCCTGGTATCAAAGCATGATATTTTGCATTTAATAAGTACTCTATCCATTTGATCCTTGCAACTACATACAGTATACCAACAATCCCATTTTAATGAGAAAATTGAGACTTTTGAAGAACGCATCCAAAGTTGGGAGATAATTGTGTGTGGCTATTTCATATTTCTGCGTATCTTGCAGAAAGGCTGGCTCTACTTTGAGTGAATAACTTGGAAAGTAGAGATGTCTCCTTCCACATCACAAAGTAGAACAGTTACTAATATAAAGATGATACCTCCTTTTAGGCAGAGACCAAGTAGGCATATGATTCACTGTGAAACACTCAAGCTCTTTGCCTTTTAAGAACCTCTCTTATAATGCAATTCACTCTGTATATAGTTATCAGGAACTAACACGAATGCTAACACATTGGCTATTGCTATTGTTATAATAAATTATCCTTTGACACAAAGAAGTCTCATATCATTTGCCAGAATCTTTGAGACTATAGCAGAAAAATCTGCTATCTTTCAGGTAACTTGCTACCTTTCAGGTGTTGTAAAACTCAGACTTCAGTTCCTAACAGGGTCACCTAGATGGAAGGTAGTCAAGCTTGGGGTGTTTTGATTTGCTTTGTTGATGGGATCATCTATACATTTATCTATCTATCTATCTATCTATCTATCTCATCTATTTATGTTGGCTGTACTAAGGTTTGAACTCAGGGCCTTGACTTCTCCAGGAAAGATTTCTATCATTTGAGCTACAACACCAGGATTTTTTGCTTTCGTTAATTTTTTAAAATAAGATCTTGCTTTTTGGTCCAGGCCTTTCTGGACCTTCATCCTCCTTATTTATACTTCTGGTATTACTGGGATTACAGGCACATTCAGGAGAGCTTATTTTTGAATTCAAGTAGTCTGACTGACAAATCTGCCTTCCTAACTTCTATGTTGTTCTGCATCTCAAAGTAAGCATATATTTTTAAATCATTAGTGTGGTGATCTAACTGCAGCATGATAAGGCTGCTGAGACTAGGAGTAGATTTTTTCAACTTAAAGAGAAACTTCTCTGAGGAGGAAATAAGATTGGCAAATAGATACCATGAAGAAATGCTCCACTTCTCTAACCATAAAAGAAATGCAAATCAAAACAACATTGAGATTCCACCTCACTCCAGTTAGAATGGCTATAATCAAGAACTCTAATAACAACAGATGCCGAAGGGGATGTGGACAGAAGGGAACCCTACTGCATTGTTGCTGGGAGTGTAAACTGGTTCAACCCCTTTGGAAAGCAGTATGGAGGTTCCTCAAAAGACTCCACATAGAGCTCCCCTATGACCCAGCAATCCCATTTTGGGCATTTACCCAAATGATCACAAATAAGGCTATACTAAAGCTACCAGCACAACTATGTTTACAGCAGCATTATTCTCCATAGCTAAGATATGGAACCAACCCAGATGCTCCTCAGTAGATGAACATATCAAGAAAATGTGATATATATCTCTATCTATCTATCTATCTATCTATCTATCTATCTATCTATCTATCTATCTATCTACATACATACAGTGGAATTCTATGCCTCCATCAGGAATGACACTGCCCCATTTGTTAGGAAATGGAAAGACTTGGAAAAAATTATACTAAGTAAAGTAAGCCAGACCCAAAGAAACATAGGTCCCGGGCTGGGAAGGTGGCAGTGGTAAAGCACTTGCCTTGCATGCATGAGGCCCTGTGTTCAATTCCTCAGCACCACATAAGCAAAAAGAAAAAAGCCAGAAGTGGCACTGTGGCTCAGTGGTAGAGTGCTAGCCTTGAGCTGAAGAGCTGAGGGACAGCGCCCAGGCCCAGAGTTCAGGCCCCACGACTGGACCAAAAAAAAGAAAAGATATGTACTCATTATCTTGCCCATGTAATTGTAACCCCTCTGTACAGTATTTTCATAATAAAAAAGAAAAAGAAAAAAGAAAAAAAAGATGGTGCTAAGTGAAATGAACCCCAAATAGAGACACAAGGCAGTTTATCTTTGTTGCTGTTGTTTTTAATGTACTATGTGATTTCTTTTGTTTCCTTTGTATGTTCTTCCCCCATGGTATAACCCCTGTTTAATACTGCATTTGATTCTGGTACCTGAATCTTACATATACATTTTTCTAATTTGGGGAGTGGAAGAAAAATGTGGAAACAAGGATAAAGGCTGGCCCATTGTAGCAATGAGATGTATAAAACACTATGTTATAAATGAGCTCTACAACTTGGGGGGGGGGGGGAGGGGGAGGAGTTGAGGAGGCAGGGAGGGAAGGGATGGTAGAGGAAAAACAAAGGAGGAAATGTACTCATTACCTTATTCATGTAACTGTAACCCCTCTGTACAGTATCTTTACAATAAAAAATTTTTAAAAAAAGAAGTAGATTCTTTCAGCATGTAAGCAATCGGCAGTAAGAGACTGCAGAAGCAGGAAATCGTTCTGGTATAGCAGGTGTAATCTGGCTTCTAGAGGTTAACAAGTCACCAGGTCGTAAACTGCCAAACAGGGCAATTCCTAAGCACAATGCTGACCATACTGATAGGCATCAGAATGTATTTATAGAGACCAGAGTAAAAGGTCCAAGTCAAAAAGAAGCTGCCTTTAAGTGAGCCTGTTAGCAGATAGCAGGATCCCAATATCCAGGTGAGGATTTAAGAATCAGATTATATTCCTAGAGGTAGAGGGAGGGAAATAGCAGAAGAAACGAAGAGCCATTGGTCAGGTATTCAATGAGTGGTGCAATGTGTCAGAAATGCAGAAATGATTGT